TGGGGAGGGGCTGGCCAGAAAACGACAAAAACGAGACATTTAAACTGTTCAAAAACCGCCAAACTGAGCTGTCAATTGAAAAAGGGTGCATCTTGTGGGGGGATAGGGTTGTTGTTCCACGAAAATTACAAGAAGATGTACTGAACATGTTACATGAGGGACACCCGGGCATGGTAAAAATGAAGTCCCTGGCCAGAAGCTACATCTGCTGGCCAGGAATAGACAAAGACATCAAAACCTGGGTAAGAACATGTCATAAATGTCAGTCGTCCAGACCTACCCCCCCCCCTTAGCACCGGTCCTTGACTGGGAGACACCCAGAGGCCCCTGGTCAAGGATCCACATAGACTTCACCGGACCCACAAAGGGATATACATTTTTAATCATCGTCAATCCCTACTCGAACTGGTTAGAGGTCAGCATCATGAATTCAACAACGACTGAAGCCGTCACTAAACAACTAAAGAAACTCTTCGCCACTCATGGTCTACCAGATGTATTAGTATCGGACAATGGCCCACAGTTCACAGCTTTAGCTTTTGAACAATTCCTTGCAGAGCAAGGTATACGACATGCTCTGACAGCGCCGGCTCACCCGGCAGCGAATGGAAGGGCGGAATGCATGGTTCGATACCCAAAAGAAGCATTAGAAAAACTTGAAGGAGGCGACATGCAAGACAAAATCAACACCATGCTCACCATTCAACATATAACGCCGTGCACATCAACAAACAAGAGCCCAGCTGAACTTTTAATGGGCAGAAAATTGCGCACACATCTGGACAGACTACACCCCACCTACAACCCCGAGAAACCACCAGACTCCTCCAGTAAGTACCGCACGTTCATACCAGGCGACCTGGTATATGCGAAAAATCTTACCGGAGACCCGTTGTGGTTACCGGCCACAATAACGCAAATCACAGGGCCCCGATCGTATCGGCTAGAGACAACCGATGGCAGAACATGGAAAAGACACATCGACCAACTACGGTTGCGACACATCGAACGCAACACCAACACACCCCGGAATATGGAGCAAACACATCCACAAAACCCAATAGACAATAATAATAAAACCAGAGGGGGGGGGGAACCCTTAAATAATAAAGTAAAGGAAAACCCTCCATTAACAAACCACCAACCAGAAACTGAAAACCCAAAAAGAAATAAAAACTACTTACCATTTGACGAATTCGAAAGAAGAGAGCTGGAGGAGAACCAGGGAAGGAGCAGCCGAGCTGACTCTACCTGCCCGAGCATGCCAGAAGGGAGCGACAACGCCCGCTCAACCAAACCAACAAAGCACGGCGGGAGTGACATGGCTGACTCACCCTTCCAGGAGGTTCCAGAGAGAAGAACAGGAGAGACGGCGAGCCTGTCCGAACCGACAGAAGTCAACGCAGAGACTGAACTGCGCAGGTCAACTAGGACCCACAAAAGCCCCGCCTACTTATGCAACTACATCACGTAACCTTGGATCAAACCAAGAGGGGAGGGGTGTTATGTACTTGTTTTGCATACTCGTAATACTGCATTCCTATTGGACAGATACTGCCGCCTAGCGATTGGTAGATAACAACAGGCCACCTAAGTGGCGGGAGTTTTAAATAAATGCAATTGGTTGCGAGCCACGAGCAGCCGCTATAAAAAGGGCTGCCGCGGCTCGACTTTAGTTGAAGTTACAGTTAATAAAGAGCTGAATTCAACTCCGGTCTCGAGTCTGCTTTGTTCTGGTGATAGAACATAAGTCTAAGTGATATTGCTATTAAAGGCTGTCTTTTCCCCCAAGAGAAGGACAAGAGTGGGACTGGGCCCCTTGTGGGAATGTTGCCTCATCTACAAATGGATCAGATACAGGATGCCCATTCTAGTTGCACTGCTGCAAAGAGCAAAGTATAGTACAGTGGATCACCATAACCAATTTATGGCTTGTGTTTGGCTTGAGAACTTGCAAGGTATAGTAATCTGTAATTTCAACAAGTCAACCATCAGCAAAAAGCATATGAAAAGGGAGGATGAGGGACCTACCTAAAAATCATTTCACAATTCATTTCAAGGAAAGGTGGGAATTAAAAAATGTGATTGAGATGAATACTTTGCATGAAATTCTTGAGGAAAAATAGACAACCCTGACCTTTGCAACTCAGTTTCACACTGTGGGGTCCCTGGCATTTTTGTACCCACCCCCCAAAGGGAGTCTTTCTTGGAAGCCTTGCCCAGAAAAAGAAAATACTGCCTTTGAACTTTCTTTTTGATCTCCCAGAGACTCCTTTACTCATGAGTCCAGTGGAAAAGAAACACAAGTCCATTATGCCTGTTACATATGCAAAGAATGCAGAAGGCTAAGGAAGTTTGGGGTACCTCTGAAGTAAAGAAACAGCATAGAGGAAACCAAATGCCAACCAACCTTCTCAAATTAAAAATCACCCATCTAAGCTGCAGTAGGGCTCTTGAAACACTTTTCAGGCTTCTGAGAACCTTTTCTAGCAAATAGGAGAACATACTATCATCCATAAGCCGCAGGTTCACTTTTACAAATGTTTACATATGGAATTAAAAAAAAAACCCTCTCATGACCATTGGGAAACTTTTGAATTCTAACTTAGCGAAATAATTTCGTGTACTTGCATTTGCCTTTTCAGTCTCTGAAATATTGAGTTCCACATCTGTTTCACCATGAAGACTTCAGAGGGACAGGGATTCTATAAATAAATGACATCATGCCTGCACTGATGCTCAGCTACTTTTTTTAATGAAATTCTCTAGTGTGTAAATTGTAATACAGTAGGCCATGAAGTAGGCCTACTTTTCAAGGCCTACTTTGTTTGGTGGAGCCCATAGCTCAGTGATTCAATACGTAACTTACATAAAACTATTTTCCCTGGTGGGCTACCAATTTCAGTCAACTGGAAGATGATATTTGGAGAAAGTTCTCACTCCTTGAATACCTCCCTATATTAAAAAATTGTTTGCAAGTTGCAGTATTCTCTCTTTGTTTTGGATTCCCATAGTTCTGTTTTACTAATTGAATATTCATAATGCTTTCTATGAATAAAGATATGGACCAATATACGTCATATAGAAAGATAGTCTGCTAATATTCTTACTCCAGCACGGATGGATGCTTCTTCCCTTGGCATCTCCGTAATATAAGATAAATAGGTCTCTGGTTATGATAAAGGGAAAAAAGCCTCTCTAAGATTCAGAAAGTATTCTGGCAGGACTGGCTTAAAAGGTGAAATTGACTTAAATCAACAATTAATGGGATCCGTGACTTTTGAGAGTATCTTCCTTAGAACTGTCCAGGCATGCTTAATTTTTGTTGGAATGATACAGAGAAGATTAGTGTAAGCCCTGCACATCAAAGATGACACACACATTTCTGAAGTGTTAGGGTTAGAGTCATCTAAACGAAAAAAATAAAATGAGAAGATGACATGATGCTACATAAAACACATTGAATGCCATTTAATTAGAAAAAAATGCCTTTAGCCTCTGAAAAGGTCCCATAGAAATTCTTAGAAAACAAAATATGGGGTGCCTTGTTGAGAAGTATGAGCATTGGCCACAAGAAAAGACAATGTCCAGGCAGCATACTAGATAGCATAACAATCAGGAGACTGAGAGCAACTCATTGGTTTGCTTTCTGGGTCAATATATGTTTTTAATTGCCATTTTATGATGAAATGATCTTCCTGTGCAGTGAATTTATGAGAGTGACCACAACACGAGCTCAATATTTTAAATGTGCATTGGCAATCCACTGGGTGGGGGAGGAGAGGTTTGAAATGGGCAAGACGGTTGACACAGCATCACATTCCCAGCCCTACTCACTTTGTAGATACCTTGACATGTGTAGAAAAGTCGTGTCCTCCATCTTACTATTCTGAGCCCCCCTTCCCCTAAGACCTCAATGCAAATGCGCAAATCCAACAACCCATATTGTTTGCATCTGAACAATTTATTCATTATGCATTGCATCCTTTCGGTCCATTCGCTGTTTAACTGCAGCTTCCCATCTCCTCCCACCCTTCTTTTCAGCTTTACGAACACACCTATCAAACCACAGATCAGTGTTTTCACACCACAGCATACAAGCCAGCCGTGTTTGTTGAGAGGCAAAAAGCCTGAGAACTACTACCGGTTGAATTTCTTTTGCAGCTTAAACATTTGCACTTGGCAGCTCATAAAAATAAAAATATACATGCAAACGATACTCAATACTCCCTATTGACACTTGCTTTTTGCTTCTCAGGGACAGGGTTTCCCCTATCAAGCACAAACATACAGATTGTGGCAAGTTCTCAAACCATAATGAAATCTCAGCTCCGTGATGTAACGAGAGAGGGTTATTTGTCAAGGACAGATTGTACCGAAAGACTAGAGTCCCACAGTGGAAATGGGAGTCCTTGGTAGGGCTACAAACACAATAAAATTGAGATCGGGCTATGTCGATACTCACACGCACTACTCTCACTAACAACAAATCAATCTTCTCAGAACAGAAACAAAAACTTTACTTAATCATTAAGGCTGGCGAGCAAAACCATTGTCTTGAGAAAGGGGATGCATGATGTATGTGGAAACAAATTTAAAGGAAAGGGTTGTTTTCAGTAGATTCTGAGAGCACACGTCAGTGAAATGTTCAAATCATAGCCAGGGTCGTGTTTCCACTCCTACTGATTTAATGCTGACTTGACTCTTGCCGAGATGTTGAATCTTTCTTACAGCACTTTGAGAAAGTAAGGCTACGCAGGCCAGGCATTATTTAGGGAAAAAAACCCATATCCCATCAGGCCGGCTGAGCAGTGGAACCGAGTGGGGAATTACCAGCCACTGACTGCTTGATGTATTGGCGAATTCCCTGCAGGGGCCTGAAGTTCTAGAAATACATATGGCCTCGATTTCCCCCAGTTTTCTGTAGACTAATCAACTGTCAAGGATAAAAATTATTTCAAAATAGCCGGTAGACTAAAACAGTAGGACTCTCCGTTTTAAACCTTTTTCAAGGTACAGACTGAGATACAATGATTCCCAATAAGCTCAGATTAAATATCATAGTAGAACACAGAATAACAGAGTCAGAAGGGTCCTTGGAGGTCTTCTAGTCCAGCCCACTGCTCGAGCAGGAGACTCTATATCATTCCAGACAAGTGGCTGTCCAGTTTCTTCCTAAAAGCCTCCAATGATGTAGCATTCACAACTTCTGAAGGCGAGCTGTTCCATTGGTTGATTGCTCTCACTGTTAGGAAGTTTCTCCTTAGTTCTCAGTTGATTAGTTTCAATTTAATTAAGAAACAGAATTATAATGAGTAGTCTAACCATGATAGCAAATGGTTGACATCCAGCACATGATATTGCTAGTAGGTTGGATCAACCTCTGAGCCTTTGCTGGACAAGGCCATTTAAGGAGATAGTTTGGGAGTTTTTAGAATTAAATAATTTGAAGTGATGCTTCAACCTCCCAGAGCAAGGTTTTACTTTTCCTAAACTCTAAGGGCAATTTGTTCCCTCTTTGCTTAATACCTTTGTTGGATTAATAGGTGTCAGTAATTCTTAATTAACACCTGCTTTCTTATGGGTATTGCTTCAAAATCAGTCCCATAAACTATATGTCCTGATTACTCTAAACGCCCTGCTGATAATATACTGCATTGGAAGTCAACACTCAAAAACCTAATGGCTTTCCACACAACAATTTTTGATGGAAAATTAAAATGCAGCACTATACATATCACTCAAGCAATGAAAATATATACATTCTCAAGTAAGAGTAAATGGTATTGCAGACTAAATGTTAGGATGACATTTATTTATTATTGATTTATTTACTTACTTATTTATCTATCACTCTATATCCCACCACAAACAAACGATGTTTGATGCTTCACAAAGATGAACAACACATAAAGCATCCACAATCCAAGTGTAAAACAAAGACCTGAAAGAATATAAACAGTAAGAAACAATCTGTAATCCTAACCATGATTATCACCCAACCTGAACACCTTCCAGAAGAACTCCCGATCCTTCCTGCTGTATGTTAGTACCCACCAACATGTTTAGGTCTGTAAGGGGCGTGCATAAGTGCGCCATCATGCCTACCGTCCTTGTCCTATTGTCCCCATTTATTCGTACCTATTCCCTGTATTCTTACTCATATTTATATTTATACCTATTATCTTTAAGAGATTGACAAATCAAATCAAATAAATAAATAAATAAATAAATAAATAAATAAATAAATAAATATAATCCAGTCATAACAGCATTAGCCCAGATGTCAGGTCAGTCTCAATTCTGCCATGTTGCTAGAAGAACTGCATGAACTACCAGTATGTTTCTGAATGCAATTCAAAGGACTGGTTTGCTACATTTAAGGCCTTTGATGGCTTCAACTGTTTATGAAGCCATCTTTCCCTTAATAGATAGGACCATCCAACTCAGACAGAGAACATCTGTCCCAGAGGTGGGATTCAAAAAATTTTTACTACCAGTTCCGTGGGCGTGGCTTGGTGGGCGTGGCTTGGTGGGCGTGGCAGGGGAGGAATACTCTACAATCTCCAGTCAGAGGTGGTATTTGCTGGTTCTCCAAACTACTCAAAATTTCTGCTACCGGTTCTCCAGAACTGGTCAGAACCTGCTGAATACCACCTCTGATCTGTCCCATCTACCTGGATGTACAAAGGGAAGGGCCCTGAAATTTTTGTGTAAAAGTTTTCCTCTTATGGAACAGTTTTATCTTCTGATGCAAGGAGCACCTACACTCTGAGGACTTCCGGGAAAATTGTAATGATCTGGCTTTTCCAGAAGACCTTTCAAGATTGATCCTAGAACCATCAATGTAAACTTTAATTTTATTACGGTTATATATCATATATCATCAGTCATGGTCTTTCTGACCTATATATTTCAAAGGAATGTTTCAGAGAAAAGCTGGAAAAATAAGTGCTCTGTATGCCTCCTTGAGCAGCCAGAGGAAATGTGGTTAAAGAATGAAATAAAGAATTTCCTTTCAATACTTAGCTGGCATACTGTAAAGTAAAGGGATTTATAAAAGGACATTCACAGTATAGTCATAAAAGGAAGTGAAGTCTTATAAGGCAGAAGGCTGAAATTTATTAAAGAACAGAGAAAATGAGATAAGGTTATTCAAAATGCCTCTGTGGTTATCAGCTAAGCATTCTTTGGGAAATTTTTTAGCAAGACACCTTTGAGAAGGTCACTTTCCTAGTTATCCTATGTCTCACTTTAGAGTCCAGGGGGGAAATGCATTTAGGATGGCAAAGATTACTTATGCCCTGAATCACTTGCAGCTTTAAGAAAGCACTAGCATTTTGAACTCTACCCTGAAGCAGACCTGGAGCCACCGAAACGGTTTGGTCAATGTTTTCAGGTTCTAATTGCTTCATGCGCACATTCAGAATAACAAAATAATAAGAGTTGAAAAGGACCTTGGAAGTCTTCTGGTCCAACCCTCTTCAGAAGAGACCCTATACCCGTGATGGTGCCGGCACGCGAGCTGCAGGCAAACTTACCTCACTACACATGTGCAGCTGATTTTTGGCTGGTTTGAGGCCTTTTTCGGCCTCCCAAAGGCTTGAGGAAGGCTTCTGCAGGCTTCTGCAAGCTTTGCAGGCCGAAAACTAGCCCCGTTTAGGCACTTCTGATATTTTTGGGAAAACAGGAAGTGACAAAATCGGGCTAGTTTTCGGCCTGCAAAGCTTGCAGAAGCCTTCCTCAAGCCTTTGGGAGGCTGAAAAAGGCCTCAAACTGGCTGAAAATCAGCTGTGAGGTGCAGTGCAGGTAAGGGGACAATGGGGATAGGTGGTTGGGTGGGGGGATTGCATGCACATGTGTAGGAGGCATGAGGGGCACATTGCCTTCTGGGTGCTGCCACGCGAGCGCGAGCGTGCAAGCATGCACACAATTTTTGGCACAGGAGCCCAAAAAGGTTAGCCACCACTGCCCTATACCATTTCAGACAAGTGCTGTCCAGTCTCTTTTTAAAAACCTCCAGTGAGATAGCACTGACAACTTCTGAAGGCAAGGAAGCCATTCCATTGGTTGATTGTTCGCACAGTTAGGAAGCTTCTCCTTAGTTCTAGGTTGCTTCTTTCCTTTATTAGTTTCCATCCATTACTTCTTGTCCTGGAGATTAGGTTGACCCCCTCTTCTTTGTTAAAGATATTGGAATACCAAAGCCTCAGATAGGCATTAAAAATCCAAAATATTCAACATGTAACACCTTCTCCACCCAACAAAGATGGCATGTGCATTTCAAGAGAACAAGGGCTCTGCATTATTATTTGGAAGCCCGGTTGACTTAGTAGCCAATAAAATATCTCCCCTGTAGATATTCCTAAAGGGGCATTGATGGAAGACATAATTTTCTCTACGTTTATAGCCTTAAGTAAGGCTTTAAAAAAGACAGCCAAGCTCAGCTGGTAGAAAGCCCTTTGGCCACAGGATGAATTTGCAGAAGTAGTATTGGACCTAACAGCATCCTCAGCATCGCAAACCTGGTTGTTTCAAAACAGAATTCAATTCCATTCAAAATAGGACAAATCTTAATTTTTACAACATATGATATACTTTCAATTAGTTTGAAAGTGAGAGTGCAGTTTAATGAGACTCAAGCACGATCAAAGACAATGCTTTTCATTTTAAAAGAAGCTTCTGGTCCTCCTACCTTCTACTCTACTTTTTTTTTCTATAGAAATTGCACTGATAAATATGTACCTTTGAAAAAGGTAAAATTTATTTCCACAAATAATTGAATTATAACCCCCATGAGTGTCATGATCTGTATAATATGACACATCAATCTGGAATTATTATTTCCTTTAATAATTCCCCTTCTTAGACTTCCATTGATCTCTTTCTTGTGCCTGCATCACTCTGAAACATCTGTGTTTTCCTTCAACTCACTATCATGCCTTATTTGAAAAGTCTGTAAATTTTGTGCTTCTCCAAAATATATAAATAATTGATTCCAGGAGTGAATGCCCATAACAAATCATATCTCTGTAACTCCCTTGATTTAATGATGTACAATGCTTTCTTAGGCAAAGACCATTATATTATTAACATTAATATGCCAGATTTTTTTTGAAGGCGAGCGGGGAGGTTAGAATTATTTGTATTTCCAAGGGGGTGGAGGAAAATTTCTTTTGGAATGTAAAATGAAAAGCGATATTGAAGTGATTCCCGATGATTCTTCCTAATGAAAAATATATTATTAATGAAAAGTATATTATTCAGATGCCTTCCCTGCCTAGAAGAAAAACAGACGGAGAATTTGTTTCAGGATACACTTAGAGATGGGGATGAAATAAAGGTTGGGAATATTTTTCTGAATGCCAGTCATTCTTATATAGAAGAATATCAATAAGAGCAACAGAGTACATAATACAACTAAGAAGCCATTCCTTCCAGCCCTGGTACTAATTTTTTTTAAGATTCAAGCCTGTCCAATTTTTTTCATTCTCAGTTATCGGAATTCAGAATCATGCTCAAAGTTCAACATAAAAGTTGATGTTAGAACTTGCATATACTTTGGAATTGGCAAATATAGATAGTACTTAGACTTATATACCGCTTCACAGTGCTTAACAGCCCTCTCTAAGTGGTTTACAGAGTCAGCATATTGCCCCCAACAATTTGCCTTCAACTAAGGCAAACAATCAATTTTACCGACCTTGGAAGGATAGAAAGCTGCATCAATCTTGAGCTGGTGAGAATCGAACTCCTGACAGACAGCAGAATTAGCATTCTAACCACTGCACCACCATGGCTCATGATGTTTGTGGTAGGGTCTATTCCACTCTTAGAATTGAAGTACACTGTCTCTTCCTCATGCTATCATGTGTGTTACACCTGCCTAATCACAAGTACATCATACCGAATTCAGTAGGACTGGCTCAGGTAAGCAGGTAAGCAGACACCAGCCGGTGAAATGAATTTTATATTTGTTCTAATTAATGATGGCATTAATTCTACCTATTGTA